TGTTAAAGATTACGATAAAGATTATGATAAAAACATTGTGCATTTACTTTTTACGTAACTAGCATTTGTAGTGACACAAAAGCTATCTTCTTGAAAAACTTTTCCACTTGAAATTGGCTTCTTCAATAAGTGTGATTTATATCACTAAACTGCACAGCGTAACTACATTTAATCATATTTTTAAATGTACTGATATTAATTGATGCTCTCATGGATCAAACAGTGGAGAAAATATCAAAAATAACAACCTGTCAGTTACTGACTAGCATTTAGGCTAGTCAATGACGTGGCTACAATAAATAAAAATTCTAATCGTGAAAAGAAATTGCTCATAATAAATAAGAAACGACATAATAAATTATCACTAACACAAGGAACCATTAATAATATTCCATTAATATTCTTAAACAATAACACTAAAATTACATGTTTTCCTGTTACAAAATGATCAACAAATAGCAAAATCCCTGATTTTTATTTTATTTTATTTAAAATCGACAGAAATGTGGCGTCCAAATTCTAGAAATCAGAGTTGATGATAAGCACCACACACCATGTGTTCAGCAGCCACTTGTTTCCTCATGCTGCATCCTGACTTGTTGCCTTTCAAAACTCAATGCCTTGCCCCACGCCTCCCTGGCCTGACCAGCCTCCCCCTTTGAGAATTTGACCCTATGCTGATTAATCTCTTTTTAACTACGTCTGGATCCGCGCCAAAGCAACGGGCCTGCTCTCCGTGACTCTGTTTTTTACTCCATCGAAGTGGACGCACGCTGGGGAAGGCAGCTTGTCCTCTCCTTCTCCCCCTCTTATTTGAAATGTTACCACTGAACACAATGGGTTCCTTTTAATTCTCTCATCAAACAGCCCTTGAAACTGCGTTTTTGCCCCCGTTGATGTCTATTTGAGATCAACATTACAGGTTTACCCGAAGAATCAAGCCCACCCTCCCTTTCCACATTTCTATCCCCCCGTCCCACACATCTCCCCCCGCCTCGCCCTTTCACCCACCCGTCCCTGTAATAAGCTGAACATTGCATTACAGTTTCCATTCATCCATGGCCTGCTCTGATCTCCTCTGTGTGAAAAGAGCTCCTGTGGTGCCTCACTGCCCTGCAACTCCAAAACCAGGAGGATGATACTTTCCTGTCACAGCTGAGCACTGCGCTGTAAAAATATGTCTTCCTTGATAATTGTTGTGACAGTGCTGTCACTACAGTCACTGAGGAGATAAAAGCTCATTACTGTGCTTTGTTACGTAAGCAGGCACCTTCGGTGACTTGCACAGTCAAGTGGATTGAAGGAGGGCTGCATTTTTTTATGGATTGTTTGCACAACTTTTTGTTGAACTCAGTTCGTTTTAAACCCAATGTGGGACAGTAGGGTTATCAGGGTGGATGGGAGTCGATTTTCTGCTTCTGGTGAAACTACAGAGCTGGCATGAAAACACACATCCACACACACACACACACGCGCACACAGGGATGTTCCCATAGCCTTTCCGAATGGTTAAGCAATATCTTTCACTCTCACCGTCGCTCTAATTCAGTCCCTTTTCTTCTCTTATGTGCAAATCGTTCTCACTTCCTCTCAGCTTAAATGTGCTCCCATCTTTCCCATTTTGTCACATCACATCCACTCTAAGCTTTACTCATATTTTTCATAACCTTGTGTGTCTACAACTTACAAAAAAAAGAGAGGAAATCATATTTTCGAACTCTTCAAAGGCATATTTCCCTTTCAACAATTACTGTATATGAGATGACTTCTAAAATGTAAAAAAAAAAAAAACATAATCTAGAGATTATGTGCAAAGTTTCCACATGAAATCAGACATAGTGTTAAGAAAAACATAATCATGAACTTATTGCAAGCATCCAGCTCTATCTAATGAGCCCGTTCTCCCCAGCAGAACAACCAATTAGGGCTTTCTCATTAGTGGGTTTAAACAGAGCTGCCACTGTTCTGGACATCCTGAGAGTCTGGGAGTGAACATGGCACTGATGGTTACAGATCAATGATACACACAGCAAGGTGCCTGACAACAGCTCCACCTTAAACTTTTTTTTTATTACAGGAAGTATACATGGTGAGTTTTAATATATTTTTATTGTAATCATTTTAAAATTGCACAAGTCGTTTTTTTTTTTTTCTGCAGCTTGACTATATCCACGTGTAGCGCTGTGTTTAAAAAGAAAAGACCACTTGCAATCCAATCCGATTGTTAATTACTAAGTTGATGGGCCTTGTGAATTTACTTGCACTCGCTACAAACCGGAGCTGCACGATATACCAAACCACAATCATCACAGCATTATCAATGTGTGCAATCAGACAGGAATGCTTCGATGCATTAGTGGGTAGGCTTTTATATTTCACTGCACTTGATGCCCATATCGGATGTAGATTTGAGCGACCAGGATGCTAAAGCTTTTGGGAAATTGTGGGGACATTGTGAGGATGGAAAATAAAAAATAAATTTAAAAAAAGACTAATGAAAGTTGTTGGTTGGTCACAACTGATGTCATCATTGTAATATTCTGCAATAAATATATCATGTTTTTTTTTCTATAATTATGTTGCCCTAGTAACAAATTGTGCCTTTTATTTCTTCTCAACGACAGGAAATATAGCTCAAATTTGGTAAAGTATTACAGGTAAATGGGACAAATTAATGATGCCAAAAATAAATACAAATACATGCTTTAGAAAACAAAACAAAACAAAAAAATAAGATTAGCAGCTTGTTTGTCCAAAAGTAAAAACAAACATTTGCAATTATCTAATTGGACAGTATGGCCATGAACATGGAGGAGGCACTCCAAACCTGATCAATATCTCTACAAGTGTCTCTAATGGGTTTTCTGTAACAAAACAGATTACTGGACCACTAATAACAAAGCCAGTAGGTGGTTTTTCAAAGCCACGCCCCTCCAGACTACAACCATAAACATCTATAGCACAGCTCTTAGCGAGCTGATGTTGTTGTTAGCTGTTCTCTGACTGAAATCCCATCCATAAAAAGCAACGACTGTTGCACAGGACGGCCATAAAAGTACAGCTCAAAACCAAGACGTATCCTCTCTTCACCGAGAATCCAGTTGCCTCTCAATAAGATACCAGGGAACAAAGATAATCACTTTATAACACACTAATGGAGCTTTTCCTGGGTGGGTTGTGCTGATCAAAGTGAAGAGGAGTTCACAAGACAAACTGAAACCCATAATTAGAGCTAAATTTAAGGGTTACCTTTAATGCCAAATGGAACAACCTGGTGTCCTGGTATTAATCTGTTAAGATATATTGCCTGTGTAGGACATGTTTTAAAAATATTTAATCCGAATAACAAAGAACATGATAGACACATCTAAAACCCATCAGCACCGATTAGACACAATGTGGCATTTTCTCTTAACCTCGTCACATTTTTCACACCATTCACATTAAAATTCAAATACAAATGTGAAGTATGGTCTACTTGCTTTCATTTAAAAACTGCTATCCCTGCTGCAGCTCAACTGTTGCAGTTCTAATAATGTAATATATGATGTTATTATTTCTATCTATCATTATGTCAAAGTAAGTTATGCATTTTTTTTTTACTTTTTTTCCATATCTGCTCAACACTGTTATCTTCAAAAAGGTTTTGAACACACTTCTTTACATTTCTACATGACTCTGCATGAATATATATAAAAAGCAGAAATCGACTTTCACTAAATGGTAATACAACAGAATAGATGAAAGTTTTAGGGATGTGAAACCTCAAAATGTCAAATTCAGGTTACGATATGAATGGAGGTTTTGGTTATTTTCTATCTCAATGCAGTATAGAACAGCGCAGACTTTTTTACAGTAGACATGAGAAGGTGGGAACGACCATTGTAGCAGTTGATTACTTGATTGATCAAAGGATTACTTGAATATGCGATAATTGAAATATTCAATAGGTCTAGCACAAACCTACAAGTCAGCACAATCTCAGATCAGTGTCTGCCAGTCTGCTGGCCTGTTTGCTTGTCAGTCTAAACTAGATGAGCCCTTTGCCATCTGTCAAAGTTTGTCTAAAATATTATGATACAGACACACAACACCCTGCATAGAAAAATGTAGGAACTGCCCGACTTATAAAACTGTGGATGCCTTACCAAACCATTAAAGTGAAGAATTATGCAAAACTATATATTAGTGTCCCACCCATGCACGCTTGTAAACCCTTTACCAACAGAAAAGCTCATCTATATCACACTGAAATTATTAAAAATAAAAAAAAAAATCCCTTGACCAAATTTAAGTCGTGAACTAGTGCCGGGAGAAAACACAACAAATAAAAAGAAAATACCCTGGGGAGTAGCTCAGCAGCGTGGTGTTTAAACAACAAGGCATTTACTACTTTGTTTTGTCAGCGGCAGGAAACTGCTACGTGTATTGTCCCACAAAAAAAAAAAAATCGGAGCCGGATGTTTGAACAGCCTCTTAACGCATCACTTTTAAAATGACCTACCGTTAAAATTGCCGTAAAGGTAGCACCATGTTCAATCAGAACTACCATTTACCTGTAGAGCAAGAGAGTTTGTTCACAAACATGTAAACATGAGAGTGTAGCTAAATTAACCTGAGCTGAAAAAGAAAGAAAAACATGCCCGCGAGGGCTTTTACGCTAGCAACGTAAATCACATCCGAATGAGAAGCAGCGGGAAGCGGGGGGAGTAAGGTGATGATAACAGGGATAACATGGAAGAAGGCAGGCGCCATGAAGCGCCTTAAATCGAAGGTATGAATTAATTTCCTTCATAACAGAGACCACTGAATAGCGGTGTTTTTTTGACCGCTATATCTACGAAAAAAAGTAGGTATTCGTGGAAATTAAGCATATAAACTCAGTATGTAAAGCATAAAGACCAGAAAATGATGCCGATCCACACAGCCATGAAGCAAGCCGATATGTCGCTGATATCTCCATCACGTGACTTTAGAGGAGGTGAAAAATCAGCCCATACCTGTTTAAATCTCCAAAGATAAGTGTGTTGCGGATTTTCCCAAACGTGGACTCGCGCTCGGTTCTGCTCCAAAAAAATAATGCACGTCCCAGTACCTCAGCCTCCCAAAAATCTCAACTACACTCCACTCACACCGACGGTCTGGCAAGAGCTCAAAGGAGATGTGTCCATCATCATAAAGTCCCGCCTATTACAGTGAAAAAACACCTTTTACCCCGTTCTCATTGGCTCAGAGGAAATACTGTATTAGAGTATGACATTTGATTGGTCGCTTTGTTTGCCAGTTTAAAATGGAGGGATGTACGATTTAAGTAAGTTAAGCGTCAGTGTGACACGACAGCTCCCCCTAGAGGCTAAATCCTGCAACTTTAAAAAAAAAATGTTTTTCTGGCATCTAGCATTTATTTCAAAGCAGGACTCTTAATGGGGTTACAATTTTCACAAAAAAATGCATTTATTATATATTTCAATTTTTTATATTTTTATACGTATAAATACATTTATTATGGAATGTATTTATATTAATATTTTAAATAATTTATGTTAAATTATGGATTTGAATGGCCATCAATGTAAATTAAACATTCAGATTGTGTAGATTTTTATGGTGCTTAGATAGTGGTGTTCAGTGTTCAAACTTGTAGGCACTCCAGGTAGAGAAATGCAAAAAGCAGCAAACATCTTGCTGGAAACACTTTCAACCTGCACCGCTTACTTCTTTCTCTTGTCCTCTGGAGGGAGGTTATCTAGCATCTGGGCCAGATTATCCAGCTTGTGTAAAACTTTCTTTCCTGAAGCCAACAGGGTATTAAATACTCCTTAAAAGCTTCCCCCGTAACTCCGGACAGAAGCTGAATGAATAAATACACACTACACTACTCATTTCTTTCTTCTTCTCTGTACTGTTTCTTTGTGTGTGTGTGTGTGTGTGTGTGTGTGTGTGTGTGTGTGTGTGTGTGTGTGTGTGTGTGTGTGTGTGTGCGTGCGTGCGTGTGTGCGTGTGTGTGTGTGTGTGAGACCTTATACAATGTCAAAATAATCCAGGAGGCATGAATACTTTGGCAACACACAACAATGTGTGACATTTTGTAATGGCTGCTATAAACACCCTTAATAAAAGGTGTATGAGGCAGAAAGGTGTATGAAGTGATTTTTATTAGAAAAAACAAAACAAAACAAAGAAGGATTTTCATTAAGTTTATGAAGATGATAAGGATCTGTTATCATACTTCCAATGCGAATTATCCCTTCATTTCTCAGACTCACATAAATAAAATGTATGGGCAGGTCATTGCATAACAGCTCCTGTCCATTGCCACTGTAGACAAACACCATTACATATACAAGCACACCACATGCCAGTTATAGAAGCTCAGGTAATTGGCTTAAAGTGTAAGGAACCATGCAGATTTGACATCTACATAAGAGGAGTAAACAACCACACAGGGACACCGGTTGTCTGTAGTAGAAGGAAATGAATGAGCAAAATCCTTGCTGAATAAATCTGATGGAAAACAGGTAGGACTCCTAATGAAGAGGAGAGGAGTGTGTTTCCTCAGACTCACCATTAATGATGCAGCATGGATCCAAAGCAGGCCACGTGGGAGCATGCGCACAAACTCACAGAGAGAGAAAGGGAGAGAGGGAGAGAGAAACAGATAGAGAGAAAGAGAACGTACATGAGAGCATATTTAGCACAGATGCTGCTTTAAAGCCTAGTCTCCCCCACCACCACCACCTTCACATCAGCATGTTTGTTTAATGAGCTGCATCTACTAAGGCTACTCGTCTTAGCGCTCTCTTGTCATGCAAAAACTACATATGTCAAAGGGGATTGACTCAAAACGCAATGTCATCCATTTACGTTCACATTGTATGACTATATATATATATAAAAGGGATTGTAAACCGGTCGCTGGAAGAGTGGCAAATCTGCTCTCTAATGCATTAGCAAACTGACAGGTTTCAGCATATTTATGCTGGAAATGATTAAAAAAGCCCAAGCAGAGACACCTGCACACAGCTTTTATCGCACACAAATTATACAATGTTAAGAAAATGACAGTCACATGCATTTCTTTAACCTTTTTAGGTAATCAGGTCTTTGACAAAAACGCCTTAGGGGAATTTTGTAGGGTAGTTAAGACACAATAAATATGACAATTAACATAGAAATCAGAAAAAATATACCTGATATGTAATAGCTCCATCCTTCAAGAAGAGCGTCCCCAATGAGATTAAAACAGTCATGAATCTGCAGCTAATCAGCTTGCTGCGATCTATGGTTCTGAAATGCTCTTTCCTTGCTGCCGCTCCTCGGCTGTCCAACCACAACCTCTCTCCTCTCACTGACGGGCTTACAGAGCAGCTCCCCACCCTGTGCAGACCAGTTTTACTACTGCAGAGCCCATCACACCAGGATATCCATGTCCTTGCTATAAACAAACAGGTTATGCTATGATCTTTAAGCCAAGAGGCTTCAATGTAGCAAAAACAAAATCATAGCAGAATAAGAAGGGAACAAGCAGTTCAGTTTCCCATGCAGGCACGAGATCAAGGCAGTTCAGATTCTCCGGAGGATTAGCGTCAGGTCCTTCTGAGGAGAATTACTCCGACAGAGCCATCTGGACAGAAAACACTGCCTACGAGAATAGTTATTGTCCAGCCATGATTGTGAGTTTATCTGAGATCCAATCAGCCACTCTTTCCATAAACCCCCCAAAAAAGAAAATCTAATTAAATCCAATCCTAGTATTTAAACAAGATCTGCATTTTGCATCCAAGTGTTTATAACAGTCTGTTGACTTTGGAGGCGCGCTTTAACGCAGCCAAGATCAAACACTTTCTCTAAGTAAACTGTCCCTCACAAGTCCTCCATTTAAACCAATCAGCTTTAATTACTCAATCCAGCAACTTCAACGGATGAAACCGGCTGAATTCATCAGATTAGGAAACCGTTTAATTCACTCAAAAGTTTATGACACCGTTAAACCGTCATATAAAACCTTTTATAACTAAAAGATCAGTGGCTCCCAAAACTGGACTGGGATAATGGGTTATAAATCAGCAAGTGGATGATCTTGGAAAAACAAATCTAATTCAATCCAAAAATATTTGTTTATAGTGTATTTGTTTAACTAATAGTTTTTGCATGATGTAAAATAATAATAATAATAAAAAAAATAGAGTCATTAAGTGTAAGTGATTCATCTTTTAGTACAAAATTTTGAAAAGATTATGATGCACTTCAACATTGAATGATTTGCTCTGAATGGCAAGTTTAGATGGGCAAGTTATTTTCGTAGCCATTTATTTTTGGTTACACAGAGCAAACCTCCCATTTTCAGCAGATAAACAACAACAGCAACTGCAAGGGTTTGCAGTCAAGTTCTATAGATGGCGTTATTTCAAAGCGTTACACCCGAAGGCCATGCATCATGCACCGCCACCTGCCCTAAGAGCACAGCAGTCAGTCAGACACACACGTCTGGACGTCTTTTACCTGGAAATCCGACGACAACCAACTGGAACGACTCGAGTCGGTATTTCCTCGTATATGAAACCGGCTGAATTCATCAGATTAGGAAACCGTTTAATTCACAGATAAAGAGAGCACTTCTTTTGCTCTCTTTATCTCTGGTGAACAAAGACGCCGAACAAATATTTCCCAGCAGTTCACACCTCTTTGCTTGATGTAATGTCAATCGCCGGTGCCCTCTGGCTTCCCCTTGCACGTCTTTGTATGTGTGAGTGGTAACTCTAAACCCAAGGATCAGGTGTCACACAAGGAGGAGAAGAAGAACCAGATGAGCACAGAGATAAAAACACAGATGGACAGAGATTAAAAACATGTAGGAATGTATCAAACAGGAGCAACAGGGGTGTAGGGGGGGGGGGATAAAAAGAAGCTATTTACAAAAAGAGTATCTTGTTTCTCATGAGCAAATAGCATGGGAGACGACACTGAAATATCAAATATTAGTCTAATCTGAAACGTCCTGCCTGGGCATGCCTAATTCATGGTCTTGGGTTTTTGTGTTTGTGTGTGAGCTTGTTACATCTTGCCCCGGCTCTCTTTTAAGAACGGTTAGCCAGAAACCTAACCTCATGAAATGCTATCCCTTTAAACAAGTCTCTCGGACACACGCGCCGTGTTTACTTATGTGTTTGTCAACAATCTAGAACAATGCAGCCACGAAGAATTGGACAGTGTTTTAAAACGGGGTGTTTAAAGAGTTGCGAGTTGTGTTTCCTTAATTGATCAAATTGAATAATGCTGAAACATACTAATTTTGGAGAAACTAGTTCTCCACAGTGTTGGAGAATTCAGTTCAGTTTATTTATGGTGGACCAAATCACGACATGTCATCTCGAGGCACTTTTCAAAAAGAAAGTCGTTTCAGTTCAATCACACAAACATTCTAACTAAGCGATATTATTTATCAAACAGTGAATTTAGTTCAGTTCATTATTCAAATTAGTTTAAAAAGTACTCTCTCTAAGGAAAGCATTCACACTTCCTGGAGGACCTCATAGCAACAGACAATCACTCTTATTGTGTCGCTGACTTTAAAGTGATTCCTCATTCCTAGCATGAATGTAGTTACAGTGGGGAGGAAAAGAAAAACCCCTTAACAGGAAGAAACATCTAACAGAACCAAAACCTGGCTCAGTACAAGCAGCCACCCACTGGGAGTGTGAGAAGACAGAGAAGACACACAAAAAGAAACAGATGTAGGAGTACTTTTTATGTTCATGAGAGTAAAAAGATAATAAAAAGAGATGGAGAAGGTTTAGTAATTGGCCTTGTCTGTTCCCAGACACTCTATCTCACTCTGGGACTGCAAGAGGGTTGACTTACTATTCAGAAACAGCTGCTGGATCTTGGTTGCCCAGCAGGCTCAGCTTCTTTTGCTTCTTCTGCTTCTGGGTCAAACATGTATCTGTTACCAGCCATTCTCAAGTGTATAAAGTGTAAACACTGAGATGCACTTATTTCCACAATAGTGATGTAGCCCTAAAAATGTATTCTGAAATGAGCTCAAAATAGACAGAACTGGCTGGGCGACATCTCATAATCTGAAAATGATTTTTTATTTATTTTTTTTGTTAAAAATAAATAAATAAGCTTCAGCTAAAGCTAAAAGAGTGAAACGATGGCGTCTTCAATCTAAGAATAGCAGCTCTCTTTGGCATGCAAATTCTCTACAAATGCTGCATGGCAACACTGTGGCAAGTCTTTTATTGATATATTTACATATTTATATGATAGTATTAAAGTTGGTTTCATAAGTCAACCATTAAGGTTTGATTTTAGCACAGTGTAGTTTTGAGTCAATAAAATTTCTTTAACGTTAGACAAATTGATATCTCCTGACAACATGCAGTATATACAAAAGCCACTAGGGGGCAAAAGCTCATTCTCCCATTACCAGAGTCTCATTTGATTTCAGGAAAGATGGAGTCCTATTTTTTTAATATATGTTGTTAAATAAGTTGATAGAGAGTTAAAATGTTTTTTTCCTCTTTTCTTGAAAACTGAAAAAATAGTGTTAGTCTGTATGTTCAACAAACTTTAGTCTGTATGTGCTACATTTAATTCAACCTATCATAAGTGTTATTATTATTATCATAAGTGTCTTACAAATGAGATTTAAGTTCCAAATTCTGCAAGAAAAATCATCTACATCCAAGATTTTAGTGTTGATACGGCAGACAAAATAGATTCTTAGATTTTCTCTTTTAGTCCAGTCCTTACCTGATGAAGCATCAGTGTTGTCTGAGACGTTGATGGTCAACAAGGAAGCTCTATAATCAACACTTGTGAACTTGGCTGACCCAAATGGAGAAGTCTAGGTTTTTATGGTCCTATACTAGCCAAATAGACATAACTCTGTTTGGCTAGTATGCCGAATGCTTAAAAGAAGGGCTTTCCGCAGTCAAACATGGTAATGGCAACATCATGCTGAGGGTCTGTGTCACTGCCAGATCTAGTGATGCATTGGAAAAAGTGGATTGAATAATAAATAAGTCTTCCTCAAATTTTGAGGAGAATTTCCTCAAAATTTCACAGCAGTTAGATGGTCAAAATTAGGACAATTTGTTCCAGCAGGACTTTTGACCAGGACTAAAGTTCTGAGGTTTCATACATTTAAACTTTTACACGTTTCCATCCTCAGACCAACAATTAAACACATTTATTTATCGGGGAGAAAAACTGAAGCAAAATCTAAATTCTCTGCACGTAATCTGCTTTCTGGCTTCGTGAAATGTCCCCCTGCTGTTTCATTGCTCTTTGTGGACAGCAAATTCATTTTACTGTGGCTGCAACCCTGACAACATTCAAATCAACATTTTTCAGCACTAAACTCTTAGTTCATCTTAGTACTTGTCATTGTTAACATGATTTATCAATTGAATCTATTAACTCCTTAAAAAAATTTGAAAATAATTACGCATGGGGAGTCAGACAGAGGTAATTCGAGAAAACAACTTTGAAGAATTAAGTTGTAAATGATATTCGGCTAATTATGAAAACATAAAGTTGATACCTGAAGTTTACATGCACCAAACAGAAAGACACATACACCTCTTTTTCTCACTGTCTGAAGTTAAATCAGTCCAAACTTCTCTTGTTTTATGTTAGAATTACCAAAATTATTTATTTATCGATGTCTCCAGAATCAAAAGTTTACATGAAAAAATGATTGCTTTAAATGACTTGGCAAACCCCAGATGATACCAGTTTTTACAAACTTCTTATGTGATACATTTGAGTTAATTGGAGTCACACCTGCGATTGTACTTTAAGGCCACACCTGAAACACACTGCTTTCTGTTTTGATGCCATAGGAAAGGAATGGGGAAGCAGCAGGGCCTGGCAATAACTCAAAGTTGGAGACAAAGTCAAAGAGCCGAGTCAGTAGAAGTAGAGGGAAGAAGAAGTTGCCTGCTTTCTGCAGCGCTGTAGCTGGAGCCTTCCAAACACATGTGGCCTTGAGATTAGCTCAAGGACAGTCTGTACAAAGCCCCATTAAACTGTGTTTTCCTGGTCTGTTCAAGCCTTAATACCACACAAAGCAATGGTAAGTGTGATGCCATTGGAGTCTGCTTCCCAAATTCTCAGGATTGCTAAATTATACTTCTGTAATCCAGTCTGGGTTCGACATTTGCCAGAAGAACAACCTTGTTAGACAGCATTCTGTTTGTTTTTCAGAAGTGGGGATTTACCTTATAGAACTTTTGGAAGGATCTTTTAATGCTTCCACATGCCAAGACATGTTGGACAATTTTATACTTCTGGCTTTTTGTGAACAGATTTATGACGGGCTCTTCCTGACTGAGAGTTCTCAACCCATCTTCAAAGTTTCAAATTTCTTCTTTTGATGTTTCCTTTACTCAGGTCTGCATCGCAGGATGTCTTTTGACAAGATTGTTTAAGCAATGAGAAGCTACTCACTGCATCACTGGGGTTAACTAACTTATTACTAGCTCAAACATAGTCAGACATTCAGTAATTATCCATCAGGAGGCTATAGTCTATTTGCTTTTTATGGAAAAAGTGAATAGTAGTGCTATAAAAAAATCAAGTCACACAACAAAGATACTCATTACATTTGGAGAAAAAAACCAAATGAGTTCCCAGACTTTGTTTCCTTAAAAAAAGAAAAGTAAAAGAGCGATAACCAGTCTGTGTCTGTTGCTCCTTAATCTGATGAACCTCCTGCCAGGCACAAAGGTTTTTTTAAAATGTAACCTTTCTACCAATTTCTGCCACAATCAGCTTATTCAAGTAAGTATTTAACAAAAGGTGTGTCTTATAATTATATTTTCAAGCAGTATCTGAGAGTAAATGCTACCCTTATTAGCATGTTTTTAAGATTTAGTAACGGTAGCTAATATCCGAAGGGACTTTCCGTTGTTGTTACAAAATAAAGGCAGCTTGTAATATGTAGCTTCTGACAGAACTGTTTCACTGTTGGTGTTTCCCACCTGAAGTAGCCACAAACTAATAGAACAGTTTTTACTTACTTACTTGGTGAATAGTTGTTGGATTTTATTTCCTGTGTGGACAGACCAAGAAGAGAAGGTAAAATAAATAAATTATTGCTTTAAAAAAAATCCTATGAGATCCATCATTTTTAATAGCTTTCCCTGACAGCTTTAAAATGGATTATTTCAATATCTAATGTATGTGGACTTGTTTGAAAACAGAATATAAACCTTTGTTTATATTTTCTTGCAGAGTAAATTTTGTCATTTGATCCTTTTACATGGAAACAAGGAAAATATGGGAACAGTGTATCCCTGTTTTGCATGATCCACAAAAACAACAACAGGCTAATGATGAAGCTTTTCTCTTGCTCTCTAATCTGTTATGTTAAATATTATATATAGACTTTTTGTCACATTCCTAGCGTTGGAATGAAATAGTAAGTATTTTTTTTTTACATCATTTAAATATTCTCAAGAAAATAGTTGGTAGATGAAATTACTTGACATGTATATCTTGGGCTGCACAGTGATGCAGTTGGCACTGCTGCTTTGCAAGCAAGAAGATATTGGGTTTGAATCCCAGCCTGGAGTCTTTCTGCACAGAGTTTGTTTTCCCTGTGCATGCGTGGATTATCTCCAGCTTCCTCCCACTGTCCAAAAACATCACTACTGGGTCAATTAGTCTTGTTATTATAACGTCTCCCTCTTTGTTAGATCGTTTGTGTCTTTTTGGAGGTACATGTTGCAGATCTGGTTTTGAAGTATGTTCAGGGTAGATAAATTAAAATCACTAAGTTGCCTAATGATGCTTCTGGTGCTGCTGTGTAATTATGCAACTGTATTGCATCCTATTTTACTTCATAAAATAGTAAAATAGGATGCTGTTAATCTCCATACTGGATCATTTGTTATGTTGACAACATCAAGTTGTCTCCTGCGATGCAAATACATGTTTTGTTTGTACTGTTCAGCAACAGCTAAATCTTATTTATGCCTGTCCTGGAAAGGTCCATTGAAGACATATTTGTGACATTTCTTCATACATAGAGGCTCTAAAAGACTATTTTAGTAGTTTATTGTTTAAGCCTTTTAATTTTTCTGAAGGTCAATCTTAGCTTCCACAAGGGTTCTAATGTTCATTTGAATATTGTTTTGCCTTTTCAAAAAGACTTCATTTAAGAAGACTAACAGTATCTATTATTAAACGCTACATTACAGCCTTATGTATTATAGTAAAAATTGTTTAAAAATTATGCAATAATGTTTATTTGAGAGTAAGTAAAGTCTACATAGAACATCAAGACTGAATCCATAAAAAAAGGCACTTGGGATAACAAATCTAAAATAACTTGTCTGCATGGTAAACCTCTAATGGGGGAGTGTCACACATTTGATGAAAATAGAAACATTTTAAGATTTTTATTGCTGAATTAAATTTATCTTAAAATCAAAATAATTAAGTACGACTCAAAAATTTTAATGTCTTTAATGAGTTGCTTTCTCTATTTCTTTCATCATCAATAGGGCGACAAACATCCAGAGTGAGACACAACCTGTTCTTTCTGGAGACAATAGAACAAAACATTTTTCTAGAAGCACAAAAATATGAAATTGTTGTGTTGAAAAATATAAAATAGGACACTGTAGACTTTTTTTTTCAAAAAAGTAAATGTGAGACTCTATAGTTTTTTGACCTACAATATACTACAAATACCTATTCTACAAAAATCTGACTATGTTATTAAATTGAAATATATATACACATTTCAAGTTCAAAGAACTACTTTTGCTTTTTTTTTATTTTGAAAAAAAAAAAATTCTGGTTCACAGGAACTTTTAACTGAGAACTTTGGCCTAGAAGTTTGAACACCAAAGCTCCAATACATACAGTGGTGGGTTCTGGGGGGGGCACCAGAATCCCTAGAATCGGCTCTGAATAAGAAAATTAAAGGAGAGTACCACCTCCTCTGCAGTGGTAGCCGTAGTATTTGACTTTGGGCTCTCAAACTTTTCATTTCTACTCAGCTCATGTACGCGTCCGAGCACGTGCGTGCGAGGGTTTCCCCATGATGCACGTTCACGTGCACGCAGCTTTTTCAATCTTTCTCCCCCCCTTCCACTAAACCGAGTCCACGCGAGGGAGTGACAGAGAGAGAAAGAGAGCAAGAGATAGAGAGAGGACGAGCTTCCGCCTTCATACTCGCAGACACAAAAAGCTTTACTACACTCAGAGAGGAGTCGAGCAACGGATGATAACAGACACCAATCCTCAAAACTGCTGTCCATCCACAGGACCGGGCAGCACCGGGCTGCAGCAGTCCGGACGGCTTTCGAGGTTCAGGCGGGTGGAGAAACAAGCGGATGCTCTTCGTCGCGAAAGGCTAATTTTCCTCTTTTTTAAAGTGGAGGTGGGTCTTTTTTTTATGTGTGCGCGAAGAGGTGGAGGAGCAAAAGCAGAAAACCGGCGAGTGCGTCTAACAAAGTTGCTTCGTGACAAGTGAAAACAAAGATGGTGCACGACGGCTGATTTCTTTGTATGTTTCACACATAGAGATATTGCATCTGCTCGGTTTAATACAAAAAAGTGTCCCGGAGAAGACCCGGAGGAGACGGGACGGGGTGGAGGAGGTAAGACAGCAACCCGGGCCGCTGTAACATGCTTTCTCACGTCATTATTTTGAACATTGCAGCTGGATTGTTGTTTATTACACTTTGTTAGCACTAACTGCACTTAGCGCCGTGGTAGAGTAGACCCTTCAGGGACACAGGCGTAAACATTAGTTAAGATGGTGGGAAAGTCAAAGAATGTGCGGAATTTTAAACGATCTTTGTGGAAATGTTGTCTTACACAAGCTGCCTCATACATATTTCTTTGAAGATACACACGTCTTTGGAGATTTGGCCCCTGCAGTGCAAAGAGCAGCGGCACTGTTTGTTGATCTGTGCACATTTTCACATTTTCCTTGATAAAGTTGGATCTGCATTCACTTAACATTCAGTCATATCAGGCTGCTTAGAGGTACAAAAAGCTCTTTAAATCCTCATGAAATGCAGCATAAGATGCAGTTTAAGTTGACAAATTTCTTATTGTATGTAATATAAGTACAAAGTATTTTTTGCTAAATTTTTACACTTGAATATTTTAACCTATCACTCATAATGAAAAAAAAATGCACTCAGTTAGAATTTTATTTCTATTAAACTGCTGATGAAATAGTGCAAATTATGCAAAGTACGTTTCTGGAAGATTTATCCTCTGTTAGCATTTAAAATAATAATAATAAAATAAATATAGGCACATGAATACTTTTCATTTTAGAAGAAAATAAACTTATTATTACTGTTTATTAATATGATTATTATTACACAAGTATACGTCAAATTGTTTTGTATTTGAACTCAAGCCCTTTTCTTGTGAGCTTTAGATGACAGGATGTCAGGATTAGAGGAAAATGAGGATGAAATTAATGACAGATTTCTTTCTTTTGTAATATTTATGTGCTAATTACTGTGCAAGGTAAATTGAGTGCACTAAGTTAAATATTTGTTCAACTGATACAAATTAAGAAATACAGATGCACCACCAACCTATGCATGAGTTTAATACAAATTAGAGAGGATGATCCTATTGTAATTCATTCGTTGCAGGTTGGATTCAAATGACCTATTTCAAAAAAACCTGCAACCTCTTTTTTTTTTTTCTTTTTTTTTTTAATTACATGTTATAGTCCTCCAAGTTAAAAATCAGTTTCATGATCAGAAAGTATCAGCCTGTATTGGCCAGGAAAAGCCTGATTGGTTCATCTCTACTAATAAGCACTCGTCAGAGTCACCAATAAAACACCCACAAGCAAAACTCATGAAACGGAGTTGCTTGCTGTGAAAGCGTTACACAGCAGATAAATGCATGCTGTCTCCCCGCTGCTGTCCTTAGTGCACTTTTTAAAAACCTCTCCACCAGCTGATTGTTGTATGCATAACTTGCCCACTCATGTAGGCAAGCGAACGGTTTGGAGTCTCAACGTGGTCCCACTCGCTCTGATGAGCAAGGCCGAGCTGAAGCACAAATAACACTGAAGGGCCTGACTGAGATGCACTAAAGTTAGCACAGGTCTGCCTGTGGCCTTGAAGCTTGACTCATCTGTGCGATGTTAAAGGCATGGCCCAGGTATTTGTTTGCCTTTCTGTTTAATCGCTGTTGCCGTTGGACCTTTGCCAGCGCGATAAAAGAAAACGCTCAGATCACAACAGGATTTGCATGTTTTTGTGTCTCTCTTAAAGTCTGTGTCCCTTCGTTCCTGTATAATTTTTTTTTAAGTTTTAGTGGATTGAAGAGGTTGTTCGTACCCTCTGATTTCATCCAGTACATCTCTGGATGGGTGATTAACTGCTGAGTCAAAGCAAAGGTTGGGTTTGGGTTTTAGCTGCTCAAAGTTGTTGTTTTTTTATGAGAAATTTGGCTACAAAAAGAAAAAGACTGAGCTTTTCTCTAGACTGCAAAGACCACGTGCCCCACACAGTGTGAAATTGGTCCTTGGTGCCCAGTGCTGCTTCATTACACTCCCTCTGTTTGACAGAAAGTAAATCTGCTCCTTCTGCATGAGGGGTTCAGAACAGACAACAGAACCAAAATAACTCTGACACACCTCTCTTTCCATCTTCTCACTCTCACTCATTCTTTTTTATTTACTTGTTTTCACTAACACTTTATAACCATTCGCACAAATGAAGCCAAAATGTATTACGTTGTGTGATGTTAAAGAAGAGAAAGAAAGAAAAAAAGCAGTGGTGATGGTTATTAAGCCACTTTCTAGTCAAGAGGGGCCCTATCAGATCGTCTTTTCAGTTTCTTTCTAAGTGCGTCACTACCCAATAAGGAAATCCCATATTTACCCCACGGTTCGTGACCTGATGTTTTTACTTATCTGGAATCAAAACTTATTATTGAGGCTGCTTTCCGTCAGTTCTGCGCATGACAAGAAGAACTGGTTGCTTCAGTGAGCCCCCGAGAACCAGAATACAAAAGACTCGAAAAAAAGCTCTTGATTTGCAGAGATAACGGCTTCAGTTTAGTTTCTCTGAGTGTACCGACAAATAAAGCAGAGTGGAAAAATAGACGGCGGTGTGATTAAAGTCTGATAAAATGTTGACTGTTCGAAAGAAATATCCTTGAAACCAACGTTTTTGAACACAAAGACTTATTACTCGCCAGAAACAGTTTATCATAATCACTCATCTGCCAGATGCTGTGGATGTTTTAGTGCTTCACTGAAGCGGTCTTGAGTTGAAGCATGATATCTCTAACAAGTAGCTGGCAAATAAGGCGAAGCACTAAGCAGGTTTTCTGCAGCTGACCATCTGCGCATGGAATGCCAGTCTTCAAATGTTGCTCAGTCAAGCTGATTTGCATAGCTTGTTTCACAGCGGGATATGATAAAACAAGCTATTATGCCGTGTTTAAACTGACCAGTGCAGAACTAAAACTGTAGTATGCCACAGTTCACCTCTAGTTGGGGTTAATTCACGTCTTACTTTGGTTGCATAAGAGCAGAGGTTGATAAATTGCATAAAAAGAAAACAAAAAAAAACAAAACTACACAACATTTAGTCAGTGTGTTTTTTTTTTGTTAAAGAAGTGCAGCTTTTGTTAGTTTTTACGGGTCTATGTCTGCGTCACTGCATCTTTAGGGAGTCCTTTGCTCTCGTTTTTTTCTTCCTCCCTCTTCGTCATTGCAGCAACTTTTCCTACGATACTTTAAAGCAGCTAAGAAGTTGTAAAAGAGCAAGACATCTGATTCTCAGTTGTAATTTGGAAAATCATGGTATACATATAAAAACTAAACTATGAATGCCATAAAAATTAATGCATACTTTGCATTAGCTTTCAAAACTATGAAAACCTCTTGACATTTTTTGATTTAAACTGTTATTCTCACTTCTGCTAAAATTATGCAACATATTAACTTTATTAGGTATATGACGGTTAGTGATGCACCAATTGAGCTTTTCCCATCTGATACTGATAGCTGGTTTTCTTGACTGCTGACCTGTAACACATGTACAACAAAAAAGTGCTTTGCACTTTGTTTTCTTTCTTTGCTTTTTTTTTTTTTAAGATACAAATACATGCGTCAAAGCGTGAGCTGTTTGTTGATGAATTTATGCAAAGAAATTACTGGGTGTTCTTGGTTTTGATGCATTTATTGAATAAGAAAAAAATAAAATTTTGATCAGTGATCAGAACCAGCCGTTTTTTGTTTTCTTTGAATAATCTTACCAGTTTTATTATCATTCAAATTATTTAATTTTAAGAGTATTCACTTAACACATGTGATCTGTTTTTTAGTTGATGCGTGTCTAAGAGTGTTATCCGTAACTTTTATTTACTTTTCTCCAACTCTGATATTCACTCTTAAGTAAGAATAAACATCTGTTAAATTTACTTGTAGTTTCCTATTGCACATAATATTAATGTTTTTCTTTTTTGTTCTGTAAACATTTAACAGGTTGATATTAGCTTGTTATTTAGTCAGGTTATCTGCTCACGTAGCCAAGTGGTAGCTAATTGCTTAGCAAACATGCTACTTTTGTTGTTGCCTTAAAAGGAGTGATGAAGAACTTTTTTTTTTTCATCTCCAGTCTTGTGCTGCACAATATATTGTGAATATCTTCATCACAATGTGTAAAAGTTGTGTTGCAAAAGTGTTTGCTTTTATAATTGTTGGCTAATATATTCAAAGTGTTTTGATCTTGCAGTTTTAATTGTTATGTAATAATTAGCTAGCAGAAGACACTTTCACAGCAACAGATGGAACCACGAGACTTTCCTGAAAATGCTAAAGGTCCAAGAGTGGCTGAAGTATAGATAAAGAGAGACAAGATAAACATGGGCATCTTTTGTGCTGAATATCGTCAGCGCAGTATTTAGCAATATTTTATTGCAAGATTTTCTAATATTGTGCAACCTTTCTAACTGGTTTCTTGTTTTAGCCAGTTGACCAGCAGTGCAGAGCAATTGTTGGGGGAGGGGCAATTTCAAACAGCCAAAAAACAAACTTCAGCATTTTTTTCTGGTACTTTGTTTTTAGTATTTTAATCCATTGGGATAGAATGAAGGAAACCTTTTATGGTTTTGTAACTTTTTAAAACGTAGGGATATATTGATAGCAGCAAATAACTCATCTGTAATAGTTTTCACGTTTTCTTTTTTTATTGATGGAAGGACAATTCGTCTTTGTGCAGAAATAAGAGCTGTTTTATGCTGTAGAATTTGTTCCCTGAATAAACTCTGTCTGCTCCTTAAATTCCCCTTCTCTTTATTCAATTTATGAATTTACGGATTAAATAACGTGATTCAATTTTTGAACAACAGCGTCACATGAATAATGTTTTTTGTTTGTGACGCACTTCACAATTACTCCCACTACTTAAAAAATCCCACAGCCAGTATCTTTCGCTTGCAAACAGAACTTTTATACAGACTCTTGCTTCAGGTGGGAATATTTGCAAGAATTTAACAGCACGTAGTAAGCTCATCTGGCTCTTTCTCTTCATTTCCAGCGGCGGGGACCTGTTTTCCTGCTGCCGATCTTCTGTTGCTGCTTCTTTGTGGACGCAGACAAAACCCTGAGAGCTGTTTGGCGCGGCAGGCATCCCTGCAGCTTCAGGGGACTTTGTCAGATGTGTACCCAGCACACAAAGCCCCTGGCCTGGCCGTGGGGATGGCAGCCTCTGCCTTGAACCTGAACGGCCTTGGAGTCATGAACAGGTACAAGGACTTTGATAAAAATCAGTTATTTATACAAGTTTTGTTACTATGCTAAATAAGAAACTGTTAGACCAAAGTGGTGAGATTGATCTTACTTATTGAAAGTGTTTTTTTTTTTGATAATGTCTCCGTATGATGTTTGTTAATGACGTATGTTTCCCTCCTCTCTGCAGCAGCAACCAGTTTCACTCCCAGCCAGGGTCCTCCAACGCCACCTCTAGAACAAACACCAGCCCAGTGGGCCGACCTGTGCTGCCGGTTCCGGATCGGAGCACGTATTGTCCGTTACTGGGGGGAAGCCTCTACAGTCCAACGAGTCCTAAGGTAGCAACAGCACCATGTCCAGCCAGTCTGGAGACATTTCTTTATATTTCCAACCAGCTCCTCTGAAGTGAATTTAGAAACATATGCTGTTAACTTTAGAAAGAGCGTGGACCACCATATTGTGTATGTATCTGGGGTCTTTGGACTATTCTAGTCTTTAAGTTACTTTTAAACTTTGTTTTTTGTGACTCGTTGGAGACGATGGTGTGTGGTTTTGTTAGCTTGCGGTTAGATTTAAAACATTATTGTGTTGTATCTGTACTTTTGGGATAAGTGTGGACAATTGATTCTGTTCAGTCTTTTATTAAAGTTTAATTTTGCTTGATAAAAAACTCCTCTATAATAATGTAGAAAAAGTTTTCCTATCTTCATAACACACTTGCAGCAGGAGTAGAATGGTATATATTAAGGAGATAGCGACGTTTTGGGGCAACTTAGGAATACTTTCTTTTGGCTTTTCAAAACCAGAGTCAGTCACAAACGACAAGCTGAAGTTTCTGTAACCTGCATAGAATTATTTAAGTTTGGCCGGTCCAAAAAGCATCGTTTTGACACATCTTTCCTCAACTTGGCACCTTTAATAAGAAAATACTTTCTATCATCTTTGATTGTGTCAAAATTTATTTCAAAGCATTGTATTCTTTCTTATGAATAGCACAGCAGTTTATTTTATTGTTAATTTACTCTCAATTTATGCAAAATCAGTATGTGTTCACCATTTTGTAAAAATAAATCATTTTTAAGTATTTTTTTTTCTATATAGCACCCCAGCAGCACTTTTGTTTTAATCCTGGATGGAAATATTCTTTGGATTGGTGTCAGGCTAAAGGCGCTCTTTCTACTTTCACAAGAGATGTGATGGTGTTTTTATATCATAAGATCTGGTTTCATCCGTAATTTTTAAATAATAAAAATAATATAGTTATTTACCAAAATAATACCTGCTATAGAAAGCACATAATAGTCAAAACACAATGTGTTTCCCTCCCTGGAGTTTAGTTCAGAAGTCAAAGCTAAACAGCTGAAACATGAATAAATCTGTCATAAATGCGTCAAAATAACTCCACATTATTGTGAATTATTAATGGTGGCTGCTAATGTCCTGTCTTCCTTCCCTTAGACGAGCCCCCGATCTCTTAGCCAAGCCTTCGTCTTTCCCCCTCCTCCAAATTTGCTCTCCCCCTTCGACACAACTCGCCCTCGCTCCCCCTCGCCGCGAAGCCCGGAGCGCCTGGGAGTCAATGTGGGCCAGCGTATCCGACGCCTGAGCGGTGAAGACAGAGGGGAGGGAGACGGGCAGGAGGAGACGGGAGGAGGGACGAGAGGCGGTGAGGCGCGAGACGAGAGGAAACGCCAGGAACATCTGCTCCGGATCCACAGAGAGCTACAAAACGTTGAGGTGATTTTATCTACTTTCTAACAGAAATTTATCTTTATGTAGTCATCTGTGCAACTCTTTATTTACATCTGATTATGCAAAGATTTTCAGTAATGGATGAAAACTCAGAGGAATTTACTTCTTTATTTTTTTTTAAGTCGATTGAATAACAGTGTTTCTAAGAGCTTTGTAGCAATATATGCTCCATTTTCCAACATGATTAAACTTTCCTTAGGGGAGTAAAGTTATTTTTGAAGAACTGTTGGGTTAAGGTTTGTTAAATATGTAATTTTTTTTTCTCTATTTATTGGGAAAAAAATTAGCTATAATTGTGGTGTCTTTACTTTCTGAGTCATTCTACTTTCCCATTATATTGCTGGAAAAAATATAATTTAAACTGATATTTTAACATACTAAACAATTAAAAGGTTTTCTAAAAGTTGTATTAAATATAAAACATTTACTGCATGCTTACATCCTTAACTTGGCTTGTAATGCTTAGTTTTATTTTGAAGAGTGCTGTCTTTACCTGTTCACTCTACAGTGGGAAAATGTCCCATGATCTCAGTTTATATGCAGCATCATCCCATCAGGTCATAGAGACAAATTCCTGTTGATGTAGAAATTAGTGAGCCGTTGTGATTCCAAATACAATTCGTTTGCTTATATTCATACTGGATTTATTGTTAAACAATAAAAAACAATTGGAATCGTAATAAATGTTCAAAACAAATACTCCTTTATTATTCCTGTCTTTTAGGTCAGGGGGAAAGTGGGCATCTTCGAGGCCCACATTTCCGGGATCCGCGCCCAGGTCCTCAACAGTGAACTCCAGCGCAGTCCTCGGACGACAAGACGAGCGACTAGCCAGTCCTCTTCGCCTCCCAGCCTAGGAAACACACTTCTCGAAAATCCAATGACCCACCCACAAGTGACTAAAGTACCTTCTGTCGCCCAAAATGGCAGAGAGGTGGAGGAAGGGGTGATGGAAAGACTAATGAAGGAAGGTGGAATGGATGAGGGCGAGAAGAACAGCAATGCTGTGAAGTCAAACACCGAGAACAAGACACTGATTGATCAAAATGACTGCCATTCACAAACAACGTTACAAACTCCTTATGGGGATAAACGGATTATTCGTTGTTCGCCTGAGACGTCAGGAAAACATTCAGCTACAGATGAGGAGAATAAGGAAAAACTGAGAGAAAGGGAGGAGGAAAAAGTTAGAAAGGAGGTAGAAAACAGAGAAATGGAGCGAGACGAGAGAGAACGGACAAACAGAGAAAACAAAGATGAGCAGGAGGATCATTGGGATTCAAAAGTGCTGATTCAGACCGAAGGAAAAAGGTTTATCGGTATCTCCGAAGCCCCTTCTTTACCTCAAGGACATAACAGTAATAACATGAAGCTGAGTTCGCTGAACGCACCTGATCAAATGTCCGACCATTTATCCTCCCTGCTCCCCTCCATCCCTGCAGTCATAATCACCGACCACGGTTTGGAGAGCCGGTCCCAAACTACCGACGGCTCCGGCTCAGAGCGGGGACTGTCGCGGTCCCCGAGCCCCAGCTCCAGCCCCGTTCCATACTCCTCGTCTCGCCCCCTCAGGAAGCTGTCCTCCTCCTCCGCCTCCTCAGCCGGGTTCTCCTCGTCTTGGGAAGAGTCGGAGGACGATGTTTCCAGTGACACGGAGAAGGGAGACAATCTCCTGAATCCTGCACATCTCAGCTCTAAGCAGAAGGCGGTGAGTCGACACAAAATCTGTTTTTGTTTTCGGCTTGAACAAAAAGCTTGTCATTTACAGTGTTCCTCAAGGATTTCTTTTATTTTCATGAGAATAATGAGCTATTTTTGATTGCGCTTTAAATTTAAACTCAATACAACAGACTAACTCTGTTGTATTGAGTTGTTTTTTTAGATCAGAGTAATATATCTCATCTCAAATCTCTCTTAATAATGACTTAAGCGGAGGGATATTGCTCTATTACTTGCTTTCTGTATTCCCATCTGCAGGATCCAAAGTTTTGCAGCCAGGTTTCTAACTGGACCCAGAACAGAGACAGCTGCATAGTAGAAAAACAGACATTTACCCGGTGAAATAAGAGAAAGATCTTTAGTTGATATTAGGACAATATTGGTTAAATGGATATTAGCTGTACAATATTAGTAGATATTGATAAACAGTGTTAAAGTCTTTGTGCTTCAGGTTCTTTGCAAACCTAGGCCCCAGATTGCGACTCATGTCTCTAGCTATTATAAAAAATAAAATGATTTGTATCTCAGTAAGATGGTTTTGTTGAAAAAGTTGCATCTGGCCACATCTGCTTTGACTTTAACATCTTTATGCCCCCCTAGGATAATTTCTGCTGCATTAAGCAAAATGAATGACACTAATTATATTACTGGCATAAAGATTACATAAAGCATTTTATTTATGCATTTAGCCAGTATTTATTGCAGTATGTGCAGTATTCATATTTGCCCAGTGATATTATGAGAATAGTACATTTGCAATATATTGTACTGCCACTTAATGCGCTATTATTGGATGTGACATTTAATTATCTGATCTTCCTGGATGAGTAGAAGTGTGAAATCAACATTCATCAGATTATGCATTTGGTAAACTTCCACTGAATGCTTTTTGGAGCTTTTCTTAGGCGCAGATATTTGTGACAAAGTTGTTGAATCAACCCAGGAGGCAGAAACAGTGAAAATAATTATTACTGCAGTTATTTAGCAGCGTGAGTCTGTTCATGTTCATAGTTCACAGGTCACAATTCCAATATTAACAGGTCCACATTGACTTATAATTATTTATACTTCGTTACATTATTGACCAACTAGCATACTGAATTTGTTGTTGCCTAACATTTGCAATCCTCCTTAAATGTGTTTTGTTCTCCCTTTGCTCACATAAATAGTGTTTACTAATGGTGAAACACCCAAAAAAGTTGCTCATATTCACATATAAGCAAAATGAGTAAAATACTGAGTGGAAAAAAGGCTTATTTAAAAGATGTTCCTATTAACGCTCACCTTTTTTGCTCTTTCAATTTATTGCATGGTCAAAAACACGCAGTAATAATGATTTACTGCCAGATACTAAAAGTTGAAGTTACCTTGAGCAAAAGATCAAAAATACTTACATCAGTTATTTTTACGATTGTATGGACGTAAAATTAAAATACGTCAAAGTGGATTATGCATAATTGTGGTCATAAAGGCATTAAAATCTTTCTTTTTTAATAAATCCTGGTTCATTCTAAACTTATTCAGCGGAGAAAATTGCAATTATGTAGAAATCTGACATCATTGGCGCTGTTACTTCTGCTACTTATTTGTACAAGGAAAAGTTTACCGTATCTCCTGCCAAAAAAATAATACAATTATGGTGAGAAACACACAGAAAAAGCAAAACGCAGTTGATTAGTTTGAATAGTTGTCATTAGTTCAAATTCTTACATTCGGATGAAGATGTAAGAATCTTTTTAGAATCAAGTTGAACTCAAGAAAAGAGACGTGCCACATATATCGGGTCGTTTTAAAGATGGTACAATAAACTATGCAGAGTTTGTCATGTAAGAACAAGCACCGCTCATTTCAAAGCCCTCATAAAAATTGAGCTACGCTCATGAACGTGTTCATGCACAACACTGCTAATTGGTAATTGCTGGTGTATCTTCTTTTGGAAGTGTAATTAGCGAAAATACAATCATCAGCCAAGTATTTATTACCGACTGTTGTTAATATTCACTTTGGATTCTTTGCATTTGACTGCCATGACAAAACTTTTTTTTAAAAATCTAGTTTTATTCTACTTAACATAACATAATGGCATGGCTTTTTAATGCAGTTTAATCTCTGTTAGCTTGTCTGACTGCTGTGACAGGAAGTGCTTGTTTGGTTTTATTCTTCTGACTTTGGCTAAAGGGTCTCAAAGGGTCCTGGATGGATTACTGGGATGTCTCTATAGTTGTTTCCTCTTTCCACCCAATGGCTTTTATTAACTTTGCTGATCCCCGATCCCAACTGGGAGCTCATAGCATGTGTTTGTCGCATTAGTTTGTTTGTAGAAAACCATTCTTTAACCCGTCTCTGTATAGAACGTTTTCTACACGAAGCTGTTTAACGAAAGTGCTGAAAGGAGCCATTAACGCACCAAACCTGTTTTATTGTCTAAAATATTTTCACGGAGATTCTTGGAAGCGCATTTGGTTCTTTTTCTTTCCTGGAAAGACTTTCCCTGGCTTTTTTTTGTTTTTACTTTGTCTATGTGTTTATTGCAACAGGGTGGTATGAAAAGAAGGTACTATCAGTAGCGCATAATCGGCTTACACAACATCCGCATTCATTCACAAACAGAACTTACAGGTTTTAGTGGGGGCAGAGAATTTAGTCAACATAAATGATCTCAGTTGTGATTTACCCATCACACCATGCAGGTAAATTGTCTGAATCGCTCTGGACTCAGGTGCCGCAAAAACATATTTTACATAAGAGAGAATGGGAAGCTTCTCTTTTAGTGTTTTGCTTCAGGAATCCCTCTTTATGCCCCTTGCTGATGTTCCGGAATATGCCTCTGCATGTTTCTGGATGCTTCTGTGTCAAATTGCCCTAAGCCCTCTACCTGAGTTACTTCAACACTAGTCGTTTTCTTGCTAATGTGTAGTTCTGAAGCTGTGTGAGATTGTGCGTGTTATAAAACAAGGTGAAGGCATGAGAAACTGCATTAAGCCTCCTGAATGTCGATGCTGCTAAAACCCAGGCCCTTTTCGGGTTCGAAGTGTGTGTGTAACCATGTGGGTGGCAGCTTTTTACGAAATCATTTGACTTTCTTTTGAAAGGAAGGATTGTGGGACTGATTTTGCATTGTTTTAAAACTTCCTCTCTTATAAGTGACCTTTTTTTGCAGACTTTCTGTAAGGTCTTTTTAATAGAAGTTTGCTGAAAGATTGCACTAGTAACCAACCTCTCCACTTACCTTGCTGTTGTATAAATCATTTGTTTAAATGAATTTGGCTTAAAGATTTGAATAGGGTTTGTATTGTCTTTTGCATATTTCCATTCATTGTTGTTTTTTTTTTTTCTGTTTGTCCGGATAAAGATAGAAGCCAAAGCTCTCGGTACAATTTGCAAGCAACATATAGGCACATCATGACGTTGTCAAACGTGTAGCTTGATTTTGTCTTTAGCTTGTTACAGTTCCTGATCCGTCCTTTAAGGAAATCTGATGTATGTGTGCAAGAGGCAAACGTGCAGAAACACATAAAGCATGCTTGCTCGTGTAGGAGGTATGTGGGAGTGAGGAGAGGGACAGAGAGAGGAGGAGTGATACAAACACGGTGGAACCGAATAAGAATTTAGTTTGCTACAAACACCAACAAGGAAATAAATCATTTTTCATAGTATTTAATTTGCAGAAAAGACAAAGAAAAACTGAAAGCAGCTCTTTAAAAGGTGTTTGTCATACCATTGAATGTTCCAGGAAATGCATAGATGTGTTAACGTGGCTCTGACACAGCTATAAATGCCAGAGCGTGAATCAAACAAGGGCTAGAAAAAGGAATTTTTATTGCATGCGAGGTGTAAAAAAAATGCAAATGTGACACATCCAAACCCATTATTTCACAGTTATGAGTTGATCCTTTTGCTCTGCTTTGCTGTCCATTTGTTTTATGAAGTTTTGCGAACAACTGTTTGTTTAAAGACATTTTTGAGTGACTTTAAATGCTAACTATTTGTAGAGCGTCGTGACAACAAAAATGAATTGAAGAAAAAAAAATTTCCAACAGAAGGTACACATAGAGACATTTGGCAGATATTTTAATTCTCCCACATCTCTCCTAAAATACAAGTCACTAAGAAATGTGCTGGCAGTTTTTCCCCCTGTTCTGATAATGTTTGCAGCAGAAAGACACCTGTCACAGATTGGCATCAGTGTTTCAGTTTAGCTCTGTGGAGGAACGAGTGAAGCCTTGTCTAGATAATAGTTGTTTGTTGCAGCTGGGAAATGTCTTCAGGAAACAAAGCTACAAAAGAAAACGTCAAAGAAGCATCTGGATTAATAGGATACGTTTATCATAACAGGATAATTAATTCAGGGCTTGTGTGAAATGGTAAATTTTCTGGAGATATAAAAACTTTTTTATTTATTTTTAATTAATTGACTACTAATTTTTAGTTGATTTGCCTTTAATGTTTTGTATATAATTTCCACATTTAGTTTTTTTTTTTAAAATCAAAAACCTTTCTATAAATATTAAACGCCTCATTCCACAAATGTGTTTTTTTAACACGACTTAGACATTTAAAATCCTTTTTTTCTTCAAATTTGACATCAACTTGGACTTGAAATTATATCTATTCATGTAATAATATGTCAGTTAAAAAAAATTAGAAATTAGAAAACAGTTTTTTTTTTTCACTTAAGCTCAAGTGGAGCAATTGGTTTGGCGAAAATGTCTGAGAGAAAAAATAGTGAAATGGTACAAGTTTAGTTCGAGATACAAACATTATTACTTTTTTTCAAAAATGTAAGTGTGTTGGGGAAATTTGCAGAATTTGTTGTTGTTAAGAACAACTTACTTCACTTAGACAATGTATTTATAGTTTTCTTTTTCTCTTCCAAATCCTATTTTGCAGGTTTCCATTTCAATTCTTTACCACTTCAAGGCAGTTTTTCCACTTAAAATGTTCAGAGTTGCATAATAATTTTGGTTAAGTGTAGTCATTTGTGACTAG